CTACATCATATCAAAAAATTTTTAAAATCGGTGCGGTCGGGTCGGAAGGGTTCCCTTGTAAGTACGTGCTTTGCTCCCTCTCTCATAAAGTGCTAGCGCGGCTGGCTATATTCGTAGGTGTGATTGCATGTGTGTAAGTCAGAAAGAAATGGACGCTAATTAAGTGTGGCTGGTTTGTACGTGTATCCCTCCCTCCCCCTCTCTCTTTCTCTCTCTCTCTCTTTCGATCTCTTAGCAGATAGCACGGCTGACTAGATACAGACTCGTATGTGTCTGTGTGTGTTTGTGTAGGACATCTATTTTGATCGCTAGTCGATACTGATACACTCTCTGCTACTATGACTGTTGTGATAAATAACGATATATTTTGAAATAATACAGATTCATTAACGGACGATATATATTCTTATAAATCGATCGATCAAAGTTAGATATCGAATTATGAATTTATTGAAAAAATTCAAATTTCAGATAATTAAATAATTAAAAAAGGAAGAATTTACATATTAAAAATAAAGTACAATCATATACTTTTGTTATGAAATGATAATTAAATTTGTTTTATTATTAATAAAGTATAATATTCATTCATTTTAATATTGGAACGATTAATTCTTTTGCCCACTCTACACACTATATTTGTCAGTTATTAGGATTTATATCCAATATCTGCCAGGCGTCCAAAAACGACTCACTTTATTCCTTTATATTTAACCAGCGACAGTATTTTATTAGTTAGCATTTGTATCGACCATTAATAAAGTACAGAGACAAACTTTAGAAAAAGTTGTAATGGAATCTTGGTGGCTTAGTTATTAAGAACTAAGACTTCTTTGTAAAAGATCGTGAGTTGCAGCCCCAAGCGTGTGAGGATTTTCAGAAATAAAATTTTTATGTTTGTTATGATTCTGGTGGTTCGAATTTTACCTTAAACTGGAGGTCCAATCATGATATGTATAAAACTTTCTCCACCTGTACTATTTAAAAAAAATGATGGGAGTAGGTATATTTACTCATATGACTATAGGGAACCAAAACTAATGCGTGCATGTATCTAGCATGCCTCTGCGGCATTCTAAGTGGACGTCGTTTTTGAAGTTATGATAACAATATCAATAATAATAACTATATTTAAGAAATTCCGTATTTAGTCATGGCCAGTTGATGTTGCTCAATTGCCAGTTCGCTGTTGCATTTAACTAAAATTATTTATATTATTAGTAATAAAAATAGTATAAAAAATCATATTTTTAAGGAACTGTATTACCAAATTTCTATTATTTCTAATCTTTTAAAATATTTTTTATTTGACGTTTAAAAATAAATATAATAATTCTTAAATTTTTTTAACATACTCGTACTTTTCATTTTAAATGTATATAGAACCATTATTAATATCAACGACATAATTGACAGAATTTATTTTTAATGATAGCTATTGTATCGTCAGTGTTGTGTGCTGAAACTGTAACAAATAAATGTAACAAATAAATAAAGGCGCGCGCGTGGAATAAGGAGACAGACCGAAAATTCGGTAGCGCACCGAGGAGAATCATGCGGTCGTGTGGTGGAGAGGGAAGAGTGTGATACGACTAAGCGAAAAATATTATTATCATTTTGACCGAAAAGCTAAAGGAAAGCAAAAACAAAGAGAAAGACGGTCACCGCGTTTCTACGCTATTTTTCACCGAAGATAAACACTGTACTTATAGCTCAACTTAGCTCATGCGTGGTGTGGCAGAGTGCATGTAGTCCAAATAGAGTTTTACCTGTCGAGACCAGGATGTCCGGCGCTTTCAGGAGTAAGAATCTTGTCATCCAAGCCGTCGCTCCTCGGATACCATGAACAGCTAGTGAAGGCCAATGTGTTATCCACCAACACGCACATCCTTTGTACGCCTGTCAAGACACTTGCATATCGTTTCTCAATGCAGGGAATCAGGTAGGTTAGTTTCCATAGCGCTTGGTTTGTTTTGCCTGCGTCACGTCATGAGCTAGTCCACGTTTATCTTGTTTTTCTTTCTCTCTTTGACTCATCGCGATCATTCAGTGCAATTGCTTGTTGATGTTTGCGTACGCCTAACATCTCTCGACCAAATCATTATCCTGCGTTATTACCATCGAAAGATCAAATAAAGTTCGCACCTTTTATATTATTTTAATTCATGTCACACTTTATGTTCGCTCGATTAACATCCTATTAATCCACGTTCACACGCGATCACGAAGAAATGTGGCCTCAATACGTATCGAAGAGAAAACTGTTTAAAGGACGTCAAAGAACTTGTTTATGCTGAGAATCTCAAGTCCTTCCACCAGAATACCCCGGTGGAGCAGAAAGAGGTCCTGAAATGAAAGGCTCTGCGATTCTACTAGAGGAGGAGGCTATGAGCGACCTGCTTCCGTATGGCATGATTTTTTCTAACGAAGAAGAGTACTCCAAAATGCCCGATAAAGGTGAGTCCATGGATCGCATCTCGCATGGCACACCAAATTCAGGGAAGCGGGATAGATCACCGGCATGGAGAATTAGAGGTTATCTGAAATAAGATCTGACCAGCCTAGAGGAAGCTCCAATAGCAAGGAAAGAGGGATTAACCGAGAAAGGCCACCTTCGTCGTCAGGCGAACTTTGATCCCAAGAGTTCAAGGAGAGCTTGTGGTGTCCAGACGACCGAAGAAGAGGCCAGGATAATCTCGCAAATGCCTGAACTAATAACTAATCCCTTAATTTTGCCTTGTTGCATTTGTGGCATACCTGAGAGCCTTATTCTTTCCATATTGGAGATTTCAGTGGAGTAGGACATCAAAAAGTTCTGAAGCTGGGCCGACGGGTGAGTAGTGTTATCGTTGCCCTCGCCCTCATTATGAACGAGCGTCTCATTCAAGATGGAAGGAATCACTTACCATCTATAGACCCTTTCGGTATGATTCTCCCCGCGCTCGTGATCGAAGAGGTGGTTGAGGCGGAGGACATTAACACCTGACTCTCGACGCGCTGAAAGCCAGTGAAAGCCCCCTTGGATAGCTTTTTCTTTCTCTTGTACCACCTGAATCCCATGCTGATGGAAATTGCAGCAACTAGATGAGTAGTTCCCGGGAATGAGGCAACGATTAGTCTCGCAGTGAGGGATGAATTTTTCTTTAACAGCGTAAAATAATGTTATTATTTAACCCATCCTTCTAAAACGTTTTAACAAACATTATTTTTTAGTTTAATTTATTTATAAGACTTGAAATTTACTGCATTTTTTTTACCAACAAACAGTTTGCTCAGTTTGCTCCTGGCAACAAAAATGTTTATTCAGGTTTCAGATTCAAGCTAATTAAATATTAATTAAGTACTGAGTAAACAATAAGTTTATCAATACGTAAAGAATAGGTTTTTTTGACAATTATAATTATTCAGAAATTGAGAGATTAATACTAACTATTAATATTTATTTAGCTATACATGTACCAATAGTAACTTACTTCGCTAAATCAATCGATAGTGCGCTAATAACTCTCTAATTTGATAAAACAGTTAACAGAAACCATCAGACTAATCAACTGTTCTTAAAAAATTACGATTGCTCTAAATTCTCATATTTTGAAGTTGTGTTAAGCTAGGTGCTATCACGTAATTTTAATCACTGAAAGCATTTTTTTGTGTACTTTTTCATAGTAAGATTAAAATATTTTGGTATATTATTTCCGATTCAAAATGTTTCTAGATCAAATTTAATATTATTAACTTATTATAAAGAATTAATATTCAGTTACTAATAGTTAGACGAAAATACTGTGGAAAATCTAGCTTTTATAATTTAATGCAACCAGTAAATATTTTTTTAAAAAATTACTAACAAGGAACCATTAAGTTAGTGATCCAACTGTGTACATCTCCTTTTCTCCTTAGTCTTTTACGTGAAAATATGTGAAAATACGTAAGTAATAATCGTATCTTTTAGTAATGACTCACTATCAGTTATCTATTCAATAATGACAAGCTTGCTTTTCTTTTTCTAATCTCACCTGAAAAAAATGCGTAAAATGGCGAAGAATGTATTTTACTTAGTGCTAAATAATTGTCTTTAGGCGAAGAATTAAGAAGAAAATTTCCGGAATTTTCTTTTAAAAGTCTACCTATTATGCATGAAGATCACAATAGTATTTTAGTATTAATTTATGTATTTTGAATCAAACCAACATTAAGTGTAATGTTCACACCGAGAAATTTTCGTGCATAAGTCACATTTATTATAAAGAAAAAGAGAGAGAGAGAGAATGAGGGGGAAAAAATACTCGCTCAGGCTATCACTCGCATTTCCAAAAAGTACTTGTAGATGAAAGAAAATTTATATTCTGTTTTGATGTGCTCAGTAACAGCTACATACATACATTTGTACGTTAAAGTTTCTACCTCCTTTCTCTAAGGAACATAAAGATGTCTAGGAAAGTTATTGTCCAGGCTTGCGGAAGGCTGCTTTTGGGAATCACGGAAATATGGAAAATTTTGGGGGATGGAATGTCTGATGATGCTATAACCTTCGCATTCACTTTATAATACAGTACAATTTCAGAGATACTCGAATAATTATAGTTTTACTGCTATATGTACATCCTCAACTTTTCAACGAGAGAAAAAAGAGAACCGCTACTTGGTTGCAAACAATCGAGAAATCAATAGTTATCCACGAGATATGTGTAAATATCTTTTCTATATTTACTAAACTTACTAATAATCCTTTATTTTTTATCATACTGTTGCCGTTACATATCTCTTCGGCTATTGCAGCCTATTTATCTCTTTTTTTACTCTTACTAAAACTATTTTATTGGCTGTCGAGATATAAAAGAAATATTTTTGACGCACAAAGATGATAAATATTTAATTTACTTAAATTGGTAATCCTCTCATTATAGAATAAAAATTATAAATCGAAAATTATTACATTGAATATTATTTTGTAGTCTACAAAATAATTGAAACTTAATTTTATAATTTCTTGCAAATAGGGCATATAGATGATAAAACCGCAGATAAATCTGAATACTTATCTGATGAAGATATACCAGTTCTTAAAGATTTCAGGTTGACGACCAGAGATGAGATGAATTTATCTTGTTGTATTCTCATGCTTGATGTACTTTTAAAACAGGTAATTGATAATAATTTCATATTTTATTATTTTTAATATTTTGACATAGTTGATTTTTTGCTCGTTTTTACCTTCTTTGCACAATTTTTCCACTAGTTGTTCCATTTTATCTCTTATTTTGCCTCCTTTTTGATTCTTCCTCCAAACACATTATGTCTTATATAAATTAATTGAAAGTATTCTGAAAAATATTTTATTTACGTTTAATATAAATAAACACATAAAAAATATATTCACATATAAACATACTCCGGTATCTAGTTTCTGATCCCGTATCTGTCGCTTCCTCAGGTGGTGGATACAAGAATACTTATGATGAATAATATGAGTATATTTTCCAGGGCAAACTAAAATTATTTTTATTATCGATTAAAATCAGAACAACGATATGAAATTTTTTGGAACACTGATACAAAATCAACATTATTCTTATCAATTATATTAGTACACTAATTTCAATATTACATATGTTGAAATGAAAACTTTCTTCCTTTAAATTTCTTAATAATAAAATGGAGAGAGTGGTGGAGGATAAGGTGGATGGATGAAATGGGTGGAAGTGGAATAAGACTTTTAAAGAAAATAAAAATTTTTAGAATAAAGTAAAACATAAAGAAATTTTACGGAGAATTAGTGGGAGTGGAAGAGAACGGTCGTAACATTTTTCTTACATCTATATAATGTAACGGTGGTCGATTCGATCAATCGATACGTTCGCGATTCGGTAGCACTCGCGATGCTAGAGCGAATGATTAAGAGAGAGAGAGGGGGTGCGTAAGAGTTTCAAGTTCAGTTTAGCCTCTGCTGTTGTGCTGGAAAACCGCCAACTTTTTCAATTGTGTTTTGCTGTTCGCCGATTAGAAAATTTATTCGTTTTGGTACGTGCGCGAGTTATAGCGAGGTGCGAAGAAAAGCAGCATCAAATCACAGCAGCAGCGAAACAGCAGCATTGCGCAGAGCAGCAACCGATCTCTGTGACCGAGGCAGCGCAGCAGGTTCTCCCGGAGCTCCATTAACTTGGCCAACAATAATTTTGCTGGTTAACGGTCACGAATGATCACCGTAACCGCACCTTAGGATAGGTCCACCACGTTAATTTTCGTGCGACGATAATAATTCCGTGCATTTATTTGTGAGCGACCGTTAACCTTTTCACATTCGTGCCCAGCGTTAGATTTTGCGGTAGAATTTCTAATTCTCTCTCTCTCTCTCTCTCTCTCTCTCCGTATAATTGTAAATCCTATACGCGCGCGCAAGTCTTTCGGCCCAACGAAGACTATAGCTTTTATCATTTCTAACGGAGAAATACGACCGTTCCCGTCTGGGTAGCTCGCGGCCGTCCGCACAAATTATTTATTTGGGGATTCGGGAAGCAAAAAACGTTCCCACAATTGAATAACGCGTCGAGAACAACCACGTTAAACGCACAGATTCGAAGTCGGGATGAGGAGTGATACAGCAGCGAATAAACACAACATCGGATTAACACACTAATCCTTTAATCGTGAACAATCGACTACAAGACGGCGATCTCACGCCTATATACTACGAGCGGTACAATAAGAAATGCGAACGCGAAGGTGAATCGCTAGCTGGTCAACCTGCCGATTCCCTGTTTGAAATTAGTTATTACAATAAATGCCCGATAAACAATTTCCGCCGTTATTTCATTAACGGGGTGGCTGGCAGATCTGCCGCATTACACATCCATCAGCTGGCGCCCAAACATGCAAGAGAGAGAGATAAGAGAAAACACGGCACCGTTCTCGCCCTTCAGCCTGTCTGACGGCTAGAACGCTTCTCAGTCTAACGTCACTGGCGCGCTCCTTCTTGCTGACCGCCTCACTGGTGCTATGGTCGTCGCTGTTTGTTCTTTTACTCGTCCACTCGTCCGCTCTCTCAATATTGCTGCCTTAATCTGTTGTTCACTCGTTGATTACTGTTATTGTTGCTTCCGCTGCCCTTCGGTTGCTCGGTACTGCAGCAGCGACGAAGATCGTTGACGCACGCACCCGCGTACCTCGCCGGTTACCCACACGCACCGGTGCCGGGTATCCTTCGGGATATGGCTGGGCGCGACCCAGCCACAACACTCCAATTCTCGTCCGCGCACCGGGCGTGTCTCCGAAAACGAAACGTTAACGAGGTCGCGGGGTCAACTCCGGAAAACCGTTAACTTCGGTTTAAATCCGCGCGCGTGACCTTCTCTCTGCTAAAGCCCAGCAGATACTTTCTCCTTAAATTTTCCGCGATGATCCGCAACTAAAGCGCTCTCTCTCTCTCTCTTTCTTCTGAGCCATCTCGATCGCTCCAGCCGTCAGTTCACCCCGTACACAGCACCTTAAAACAAAAACCAAGCATGAGTGTGCGTGCCACACGCACATACTCTCAGCTTGACGCGGCGCTCGGACATTTGTGAGAGCTAAACGGATAAAATAGGCCTAACCGAGATTCTCCGTTACACATTTATAAACGTCTTGATTTTATTCGCCGCATTACATTATTTCCCTTCTCTTTAGTTTAACGGATCCGTCATCAGTTATTTTTTTAAACTGATTTCATCTAGGGAATAGTTAAAGTAAACAGTAGGTCATTCACGCCTAAGATAAAGCAAGTGTCACAAGTCAGGTGACTTAAGGTGGGTTCAACTCTGTTGGAAAGGAGACATTGAAGCGAAAATATCAAACGTAAAGGCGCACAGTACTGATTGAGACGTCGATCCGAGCCGACGTGTTTCGACGACTATGTAACCAAAGTGCGAATTTTGAATTCCAATTCGCGTCACAAGTGCTAGTGCTAGTGCTTGTATCGTGTGAGTGCTTCATTGATCTTACTCTCAAGCTGCCTTTACAGTTTCTGCAGCTTTAAAGATTTTTTACCATGACTTCCGTTGATGGAAGTCCTCTTACCCCTCAAGTTAAGCAAATCCCACAGCAAGTTACTAACCAGTCATCCTACGCTACAGCCGCCGCAAGTCGTCAGATGCCAAGTAAAAACCAAACTATAATTATCGAAACGGTCGAAGACCTCACTATCGACGACTATATTGATGGTTTGGAAAAAATTACCGATACTAAAAACATACTGTATATCTCAAAAATTTTGGGTGGCAGAGTTTGTGTTTGTCTAACAGAAGAAAATACAGTTATCTCACTAGTGGATTGCACCGTGGAGGTAAAACAGCACGAACTAAAAATCAGATCTTTTATGGAAAAAAATAAAAGAGTAGTGCTATCCAATGTAAGCCCCTTCATTCCCAACGAATTACTGATGAACGTCTTGAAAAGCAAAGGAATAAAAACCGTATCAAATATGCATTGCATTAGAGCAGACCTGAATAAACCCGGCCGCTCTCATATTCTCTTATTCCGAAGCCAAGTGTATATAAAAGAAGAAGATGCCAATTCATTGCCTGACACAACCACAAACACACGCCAAAAGCGAGAGTAATACACTTAATTCGAATTCAGAGGAAAATATTCATAATATTACCCCGCAACAGCAAAAAAATTCTGCAATAAACGAGCAAATGTCTTCTTCAACGATCAATTTAAGAAATGAGCCAGAGCCTACAAAAACCTTAACTCACCAAAAGATAACAACAAAAAACGCCCAATACCACCCTCAACTTCTTCGTCTACTTCGACAAGATCACCAGCCTAAGCGCTTTCAAAGAGCGAAGAAGAAAAAGGTGAATATGAGGTTCCGCGTTTACCCAAGAAAAAGTTGAAAAACTATCAAAATAAGCTTCTCAACTCAGTTGTAAACATGAATGACGCTCTCCTTCCATTAAAAGAATTAATAAATCTAAATCAAGATAAATACGTATTAGACTACGAACAAGTTAAAGAGTTTCTGGGAAACACTTATGGTAAATCAAACATTGTAGAAATCGCGGAGCAGGCCACCCAAGAGACAGGCAAACTGATTGAAATGATGGAAACTTTGTATCCTTTCTTAACTGATAGAACGACTAAAAGCAGATTTACCAAAATAAAAAAGAAATTAACTGCAGCTTTAATCCAGTCCCTTTCTAGTGATAGTGAAATGTACTCTCTTTTTGACTCTTTTTAAAAATTAATTTAGACTTTCATAATAAATACAATTATCGAAAAAAATTTTTAAATCGTTTTCTGGAATTGTACAAGCATATCCAAGAGAATAGATAATCTACCCACAATACTTACAGACTTGGACATTCTCATATGCGTCGAGAGCTGGCTTTCGGAACATAGAAGACCTCTTCATTTCACTGGCCTCAAGACATTCAGAAAAGATCGCACGCATAAAGGAAGTGGTGGAATCGTAATGTTTATAAAAAACAATGTCGCGTATTTCGAGCTGTCGATACAACAATCGATATTGTAGTATGTTACAGAACTTCAGGTATTGTTCTCTCTCAAGTTCAATGGGATAAAATATTTGAAAATATAAACTTAAATAATCACACTATCTTGGTAGGCGATTTTAACGCTCATCATCAAGTTTGGAACTGCAATAAAAACGACGACAATGGTGACAGACTACATGAAAGCCATTTCAAATTTGATACCTTATTACATAATCCCAACTCAATCACGTACATTGAAAAACATAAAAACTACACTTCTAATTTAGACTTAGTGTTTACAACCATAAATCTTTCCGGACAAATCAACGTACTTGAGCATGATGAAACCTGGGGTTGGGCTCTGACCACTTTCCGGTATTCACTGACATAAGTCTTAAAAAGAACTTATATCGAAAAAAAGCGTTCAAAATCAAATCTGTACGAACTGACTGGCATAAATTCGAATCACTTCTTATAGAAAAATCCGATGAATTTTTATCCGTTGATTATGATAACTGTAATGCTTGCGAAAAGTATGAAATATTCATGAATATTGTACGAACAGCTTTTCAAAAAAGCACTTCGATAAAGAAAAATGTTAACAATAGCATTCACAGAAACCCAGTACCGTGGTGGTATTCAGAGTGTGATAAGGCCAAAAGACTTCGTA